ATTCTGTATTTCAATTTTAGTTTTTTAGAATTAGAGTTAGTTGGCATATAATAATTATTTTAAATTTAATTTATTTATTTTTGTTCATAGATTAAGAATTTATACTTTGAGTATATTTTAAGAATGCTCAATAATTAGATCCTAAGCATTTTTCATCTACTATTATATAACTCTAGACAGCAGATTGATCAATAATATGCCATGATTTGGTATAACATAGTGTGATTAAGAAAATTTAAAATAAATGTTAAAAGATTGTTATTTTGTCAAAAATTATATATTTTTCAAAAATTTGAATAAGAAAATATTTTTTTTGCTTTAACAAAAAAAATTTCTTGAGCAATTTTATTATAAACTGCTAGTATTTAGTCATATTAAAAATGCTAACTCTAATCTAAAGAATTTTTTATCATCATGTGATAATAGAATTTTTATGACAATACTAAAAAAGATTCTTTTAATTTAAGTAACTAGAATTACATGCAAAAAATTTTTTCTAATATATTATTATTTATATTGAATTAACATTAATAAAGTTTAATTTTATTAGTTGATAATGATCAATATAATTAAAAATTCTAATTAGATAATTTAATAAAGCTATATCTACTATTGCTATACATCAATCATGCAAATTACTTATCAGTTATGTAATATAACCTCATATATATTTGAGTAAAATTATATATATTCTTTTATTAGTATTTTATAATAAGATATTTATAATCTTTTTATATAAGAGGCATTACTACTATAATATTAATGTTAATTTAGTATTTAATATTAATTTAAAAGTTAAGACTAGTATTAATATTAAACAGCAAGAAGCTAATTACATAATAAATTCATATTGTTTTCATTGTTTTTTATTTTTATGTTATTTTTTTTTTAGCATTATAGTTTTTTTTAGTATGCTATATATGTCTTAAATTCAGATTAGATAATAATTATAAAATTGTAATTTATTCTTCATCTTTTACTATTAATATGTTATTTTGCTTCCAAAACTTAAATTTATAAAACTTTTAATAAAATTTTGAATAAAAATTTCCAATTATAAGTTATTCAAAAAATGAAAAGCCATACTTTGTTTATAATTGCAATGAAAATACTAATTATTTTCATCAATTCACCCAATTGGCATATGAAAAAGCCCTCCAAAAAAGAAGTTATGCTAATTATAACTACTTAACAATTGAACAACAATTGTGTCATAATTATTATATACATATTGTTAAAACTAATAGACATCAAAAAAAGGCTTTTAGTTTTATAAAAACAGATAAAGATCAAAGTTGCAAGTATAATGAAAATTAAACAAACAATAATATTGTGGCTTAAGATAATATATATATTATTGAAAAGTTTTAATATCTAATTGTTAAGTAGGTATTAGTAATAACAAAAACAATTCTTAGTCCTATATTTATAGAACTAAAAATTATTTCTGTTATTATTACTAATAATTAGTAATATATTAAATACATAATTAGCATTTATATTGTTACTTTTTTTTTTAATCTATATTTTATTAGAATTAGCAAATTATATATTTGTTGAGCAATTCAAAATGCTTACAACTCTTTTATATAAAAAGCATTATGAATTTGATAGCTTAGAACTTGATTCAGCTTGTTTTTAACAAATGATTAAAACAGCAGACCTATATTTAGAAGGCTTCTTTAATTAATAGTAAAAATACTAATTTCTGATACTAGATCTACTTATAACAAAGTTAAGACAAAAAAAACTGTTGTAAGCTTGTGCTATCTAATGACAGAAATTAGAAATAAATTTGTAAATAACTTTAAGTTAAAAGTTGGTCTATATCTTTTGGTATTAGAAACATTATACACTGTAATTAATATAATATATAGTATCATAATCTCTTCTTGTTATAAGACTACTAATAATTATATGAATAAGATTATAAACAAACATCTTAAAAAAATAAAAAATTATTTTTCTAAACAGATAAATATATAATAAATATTAAAAATGTTAATATTATATGTTTGTTCTTATTAAATGCTAATAAAAAAATTATATATTCTTAATTTTTATTGGTGAAATTAGTAAAAATTTAAGAATATACAATTTTTTTTTTAGCATAGCTCAAAAATATTTTAAAATTAAAAAAAATTAGATTAACACAATTAATAAATAAATTCATAATAAACTAAATATAAAATTTATAAATATTTTTATATCATAATGTTAATAGGATAATAATCTATAAGTTTATAATTTAAATAATTATTATAACATTCATAAAAAAAAAAGACTGGATTATATATACTTATCTGAAGCAAAACATATAACAACTTGTGTTTGCAAACAAGTATTAGCCTGTATGCTAGTTACTTTGATTTTTAATAACATATTAATTTATAATCTAATGATTATCGATTTAAGTAATATCTGTTTTCAGTTAATTTATTAGTCTGTAAAATATTTGATATTGTTTACATGAATCATAAAAATCAATAACTTAAATACAATAACCTAAATATTAATAACTTTGATAGAACTGAATTACTTATAATTTATATCTATAATAATGAAATTTCAGAGAAAAAAAAAAGGTCAATGGAAGGTATAAGATTAGTTGAGATTAAAGAAAGAAATCTGTATTCTATAAAGAATTATATTCTGATATTTTAAATTATTTTAAATATTAATAATGAAATTAAACACTTAACTAATAAAGTTGCTCTAATAGTAATAGATTAGTCTGAACAGTTGTTTATTTACAAAGCAATACAAATTTGTATCAAACAAATTCACAATATTATATATTATTTAAGATTAATTCTTTAATTTTAATTATTAAACCTTTTTATATCTTTCTAAATTTTATAAAGTAAGTGTTAATAACTTATTATCTTTTTTTAAAAAAAGATGATTTACTTCATATTTGATAAAAAAAAAAAGCTTGCTAAAAAATCAAAACTGTAAAAGATTAATTTACTTCTTGACCTTACTTATAATAGATAGTATAAAATTCAAAACTTAATTACTATAAAATTCAATTACTGTAAAGATATTGAATATTATATGATTATTAATTTGCTAAATAATGTAATTCTAACAACTCTAGATATTTATGTTATTATTTTCCAATCTGGTTTATTTAACAAATATGTAAAAACTGTCTTTCAATTCTAGATATTTACTCTTAAATAAAATCAGTGCAATTATAATAAAACATTTTTAATATTCTTGTCTGATATCTTTTACTGACAAAATACTAACTATTCTTTTGCTGAAATAATAAAATTATTTTTGGTAAATTTTAATAATTACTATATTAAAAACATGTATATAAAATACGATTTTATACCTTTGCAACTAATAGTATTAGTAATATAATTAAGCAAACTTATGTAATTGATAAGTATAAATTTTTTTTTTTAATTAACTAATATATAAAATAATCAATAATATTATTAGATATACAAGCCTATTGTAAACTTAAAAACACATTTGAAAAACAAAACATTATTTATATAAGCTATATAAGTTAGATTTTTTTACAGAAAAAATAACTTTATTCTTATTAGAACATTTTCACAAACTTTTTAAAAATCATAAAAAAAATAAACTATATAAAACAAATAAGTATAAAAAGAATCTATATAGGATGTGGTGACCTAGTGAAATGGATAGATTGTCAACCTCCAAGTGGCAGGTCTAGAGTTCAAATTCTAGTAATGACGAAAATTTGCAATTCTTTTTGTATTATAACTAACTGTCTTCTGTGATTGGTAAGATAAGATACCTGTAATCTGTGTCATACCAGCATAACTGAAAAGTCTAAGCACTCATACAATATTGTATGAAGGAACACAAATCAGTACTGAGTAATATGAATCCAAGATAAGTTCTTAGGTTGTATAAATTATAAAAACCAGATAGGAAGATAGAAACCTACTTAAAAGACCTGAATAAAGAAGTAAACTGAATCTTTGACAATGTTACTATAAAAACTAAACTTATAAAATAGAACTAGAACTTATAAAACTGAACAAATATGCTAGTCTTTAAAGATGAACTGGATGAACCAACTAGGTCATTAGAATTTTTGAGTTTCAAAGAAAAAGGATATATATCAACAAACATATAAAACAAAAATATAGTCTTAACTTATTTTTTTAGGCTATCTGGAATGACAACTTGGTAGAACTTAGATTGAATACCAAAATATTAAAAATATATTATGAAGTTAGTACTGGGATTGAAATAAACTCTACAAGAACATAACAGTTTAATGGTACACTCTAATTGCCAGTGTTGACCTTGACCATAACGATATCAAATTAACTATAAGAATAAGATATAAAAGATTCTAAAAGGTTTAATACAAGATCAAAAGTTCTCTATATAAGTGAATTGCTTTAAAAACTTAGTAACTATGATATATTTTTATCACCATTGGCTGGAGTTATTGATAGGCAGAGATAAATAGGTGGATACAGAAACAGAGTGGTTAAATAAGGAATCTACAGGTAAATTTAAGATATGACAACTAGTATAAAACCTTCAGGCAGATTACTTAAATTAAACAATAACTAAAGTTGTATGAGTAACTAATTGTACACTTTTCTCATAGTTGTCTCTTGTGATTGTAAAACATCCATTAATCAAATATACTATCAATAAAATCCTAAGTCACAAGTACTCACCTTAATATTTTAAAAAAAAAAAAAGAATCTATATAAATTAATTATCTTAGAAGAAACAGTTAATGCAAAATGTTTTTTTATAATACTAATATATCTTTCTGATCAGATGTTTGTAATTATTGTTATCAAAATCTTAGAGATGGTAAAATACTTATCTGCAGGCATGGGTAACATTTTTAATGCTATCAAAAAATGGAATTTAATTGTTATTATTGTGAAGAATATTATAAGCATAGAATATATAACAATATGAAATTTTTAATAAATAGACTATAAAAAGGACAAAATAACTTAACTGCTAAAAAAAAAGAAGATATGAATAATGATGAAAAAGCTCAAGAAAAGAATCAAGATTATTCAACTACAAAAGAAATAGAATTAAATAGAATTCAAAAAATGCATATGGTCTTTTTAAATAAAATGAATCATGTTAGTACTTGGTAATAAATCTAAACAAATAAATTACTAACTTAAAAAGTAAATACTTATACTATGCAATTTTGATTGTCTCTTTGTCTGACTTAAATTTAAATGCTATATATCAGTATATTGAGCCAACGAAGTTATGTATTAGTATTGGTGAAAGTTCATTAAACTTTCATTCTCATGCTATAAATACTTAAAACCTAACAACTTTTTACCTTTTCATTTAGAATCCTTATCCATTGAATCCGACTAGATGACATTTCGTAAAACGATGAAGTAACGCGCAAATTGTATATACGTATCAATATTTTTTAGTTTTCTTACTGATAAAAAAATTTTTTTCTTGTAACGAATAGATTTGTTTAGATCATGTATTGTAAAATTACAGTTGATCCATATAAATGTCGATCATTTTTTTTAACCAATAAAATCAATGTTTACCAATGCTCATCGAATCAGGGAACAAGGTCAGGTGTAACATAAAAATTAAAAAAAACAAATCGTTTGTTTTTGAATAGACTCATTTATCTCAAAGCTTCACCTAAGAAATCGCCTTTTGCATACTAACAAAAAAATTCCTTGCATGATTTTTGCTGCAAAAATCGTCTATTAATTCTGACATTGAACTTAACTTTTTAAGGATAAAATGACGTAATTTGGTGCGAATAATTCCAGCCAATAGAAACTTGGGGAAAATTAGTAAATCCGTTAATGCCACCCCCCTTACACCTAAGGGTCGGAGATTAAATATTTTATATAAAGGGGGCATTAGCAATGGCATTAACAAATCTCTTTTTATTTTATGGAAGAAATCTTATCTGAGTGTTACGATAAACGGACGGATTTATCGATTATGAAAAATGGCTGAAAAGAATCGAATCAGATGTGGTGTGTATTCTCACTTAATATTTCCTGTCGAATGCATAAGAGGTGTAAGTCACGCTGGAGTTGAGTGAGACCATCGCAGTGCACGGCCTCGGTGGGAGTCGCCTCTGTAGACCTCTTGTACACACTTTCGGCCCGGGTGGAGGAAGCGTATGAGCATGATGAAGACACGCGATATTAATTTTTATCACTTTTTTCGGGACAAGACCGTTTTCGAGATTCAGAACGAGTTCAAAAAGATTGTGACAAGATGGTTCGAGCTTGACGAGGAATATGATCTTATAGTTGATTTGTTAAAGAAGACTGGAGATAAAAAATATTTGTTTGTTTCTAAACATTCGATCGATGTTATCATCCTATGCCTCTTTCGGGTGAAAACGATTGTTATTGAGTTTAAAAGAAATAAAAAACGATTCGGAGAATATGACGTGATTGATTTTGGTAAAATATGTAAAAAGATGAGATCTAATGGTGTTGCTGTATCAAATTTTTATTATACAAATTCAGCAAAGAAGAAGGCGAAAGAACTTGTAATTTTATTGTTAGATCCTCAACGTGCCAAATTAAGATCAACATATTTCTAGAAGATTTACGATCTCATATTGGAGTTGTCGAATCTGGAAGCGAGATATCAGAAAATGAAGAAATCGTTCAGATGAAGAATGAAGAAAATGGGTACGTTGAAACCGAGAAAGGGATAATGGAATCTGAAGACGTAATCTTGTGTTTTAGAGTTTTACAAAGAAATAGATTTAAAAATATTGTTGATTAATTCGTATATTCAAATTATGTTGATCGGTCCCGCAGTAATTGTCAGCTGACTTTGAGCAATATTTATAAAAAATTGGTATTTTTAACTATTCATTCAATAGAAAACTTATTTCTCTATGACAGCTAATAAAAGTTTATCAGTTTTTGCATTAGATGGGACTGATTAGAGATGATTAGGATCATGATAATAACATTACGACAGGGTGAAACTAAGGTTGTTAATGGAGTAGCTTGCTCCGGAGTAGATCCCAACCCAAGTTGGAGTGGGTTTAAACTTTTATCTTTAAATTTGGAGCAGCCCGGAGTGAAATACTGAAGTCTAATTTACTGGAGTGGGCTAAGAATTGGATCAATCCAACCCATTAACAACCCTAGGTGAAACCCCGCGTTGTGAATTAGTAAAATCCGCTATGTAGATCACATGAGGATGAAATCCGCTTTTGCATAATAACAAACGCGGATTTCACCCTAACGTGGATCTACGTAGCGGGTTTTACTAACTTACAGCGCGGGTTTCACTCTTCCATATCCTTTAATCCGTAGGCTTTTTCAGGCAAATTTGCCTGGAAAATTATTAAAAATATGTTTATGATCTACTTTTTTTAAATTTTAAAATATTTAAATAAATTTTATTTAATAATATTTGAAAATAAGGATTATATTATAGTAGTAATTAATTTTATATTATAAGAAAAAAAATATATGTTACTTATAAGTTAAAAATAGACAAATTTAGAAAAAATTTTTAATCAAAAAAATTATTACAAACTTTTGGCAAATTTTTTAAATATTAATTTTAAGCTTATAGTTTTTAATACAATATTTTAGTTTATATAAAGAATGATAATTTTTATTAATATCATTTTTGTAATTTATTTATAAAAATTTAGATTTGTATAAAGTATAAAATTTTTTTTTGACTTTAGAAACATATGAAATCTTAAAAAATCTTGAAAAATTTTTAATAAAAAAAATTTTTAAATAGAATCTTTAAAATTTTAATATATAAAAGTTTATTAATATTTTAAAAATTTTTTTATAATAAAATTTTATAAAATATGTTCTTAAGAATATATTTCATAAGCAAAATATATCTATATCATTAATAAATTATTATTTTATTTAAAAAATACTAAATACAATTTAATTTTTTAGATAAATTTGTCTGAAATATAGTTTAAGGGATAATATTATTAAATATTTATATAATTGATTTAGTAAAAATTTTTTCTATATCAAAATTTTTACTAATATTTAACAAAAAAAAACAAAAATAGAAATAAAATTATAAAAAATAATCAAGAAAATGCAAACCTTGTAAATTATTTATGGGCCAGACCTGTCTTGGAACCCAATGCAGGCCTCTATAAATAACAAAAATTGTTAAAAACATAATAAATACAAATAGTAACAAATAACTTGATAGTATTAATAAAAATTTTATGCTATTACATAAATTGATTATAATTATTTTAAAAAACAATAAAATATTTTGAATACTTAGAAAAATTATTTTTTTTTTTTTTTTTTTTTATTTATATAATATCATAGTAGAAACTTTAAGATACAATAAGAAATTTAATTACAGAAGAAAATTTCTAAAATAAAGATTTCTAAACTACATTTGTGTTGCTAAAAAGACACCCAATGTGACATTACACCTCCTATTTCCTAATAAGTGCTATAGATAATTGTTTCAAATTATTTTCTAGCTAGGATAGGTTGGAGGAAACCTTACTTAGAAAAATTATAATCATAATACTTTTTAATTATAATAAATATTATGTTTATTGAGTTATTTGGAATAAATAAAATAATTAATTTATTGCTTATCATTATTAATTTAGTTAAAATTTTTGGTTGTATTTTTTAGTACTTAATATATTATTCATATGATGTTTAAAACTTATTTTTTTATATAAATTATTAAAAATCAAAGCAAATTATAAACTTTTATTAGAGACTGTTATAGAGAAATAATATTTTATAACTTTACTTATTGAACAAATACTAGTTAAAAATATTAATTTTTTAAAATCTTGTACAGAAAGGTTCTCAGATTTCTGAGTCAAAATATTTTAGTTATAATTAATAGAATTGAATTAACTAATTTTGCTCAAGATTCTAAAAGTTTTACTAATATCTATAGAGAAGATCAAGTGTAACAGAATAGAGTACCATCTAGAATAGGAAAACAGAAAAGTTAATATATCAACAAGACTTTTTTGCAAAATAGTCATAAATGCTAGAGTTGGAGCCAGTTGAAAAGAAACAAATCCAATTTAAATGTTAGAACCAGAAACAGAAAACACTCAATATAATTGGTCGAGCTTTTGAAAAAAGATAAATAGAACAAAAGACATATACTGCATGACAAAAAAACTCAGCACAAAAAGAACAACAATAATCAAATATATAATAGATAATTACCAATAATAAAAGAATTAAACAGAAGGAGGCCAAAAATATTTATGACAACAGATTGCCAAGTATGTCAAACAGGTGAAAAGGAAACTTAAATACATTTAGCAAGCTGCAATAGATAAAGAAGCCTGTGAAAAAGAATTCAGAAAGTAGCAATAGCAACAATATGAAATAGTCTTAAAGAAAATAAAAAAATCAGGATTTCACCTCGAGTCTATATGAAGCAACATTTGGAAAAACAGAAACAGAGAAAATCAGTAACAAAAGAGCATTAATAAAAGGACTGATTATAAATAAGGTTGAAAAAAGAATTAATCAAATTCTAGACAAACAGGCAACACAGAAATGCATAAGAATAATAACAAGAACAATATATAATACATTTTACAACCAAGTATGAAGAGTTCGATATAGAAAAGTACAAAAATAAAAAAAAAAATAAATATAACAAGCAAAATAAAAAAAAATGCTTAACTAAAAGAAAAGCAGGAAAAAGAATAAAGAAAGATGAATTAACAAAAAAAAAAGAAAAGGAAAAAATGATAAAAAAAATGAACCAAATGAAGAAAAAAGCTTGGAAGACAATTAATATACTTGTCACAGAAGAGAGAAGACCCTTCTGGTATGGCTTTAAGTAATTAAACAAGCAGTCTATCTCTAACTAGAATAGTATAACAGATTGCACTTAGGTACCAATAGGATGGCCAAGTGATGCTAGACTTAGGTATTAAGAAATTCTATGTAATTATAAATGTATATAGTTTTAAGAATCTTAATAAAATATTAGTATAACTGCTTAAGATTAAAAAAAAAATCTAATTAATCTAATTATGCTAATTAATACTAATATATGAAAAATTATATATACTAAATTAGTAACAAGAAAAGTAAAAAATCATTAGATTTAACAATTTAAAAAAAAAATTATTCAAAAAATAGATTAAAAAGTTACAATTAGATAGAATTAAAGAATATAATATAACAAAATAACTATAGCTTTATTTTAGTTAGTAATAATAATTAAAATATTGTAATACTAGTTTATTTTTTTTTGTTTTTACTAAAACTGTTAATTATTGACAGCTACTATTTTTATTATAATTTAATTATAGTTATATAATTTGTATAAAATAAGTATGCAACTAGCTATATATATATATTTTGGCTATTTATTTAAGTAGTCTGCTTACAGATTTTATACTAGCTGCTATATCTGTAATTTGCTAGAAGATTATCTAATTAAATTTTTTAATTTCTATATTACTTTTAACAAATAGCATACAAGTTTTTTTTTTTTTTTTTTTTGGTATTAAGGTGACCTCTTTGGTTTTTTGACTTTTATTAATCACTTATTGGTATTGTGGTTCAATGA